CTTACAGACGCGACCGCCGAAACCACAGCGATAGCGTTCATTAATAATTTTATATGTAAATTCGGATGCCCAAGAAGCATACTCACAGATCAGGGAACTAATTTTACTAGCCGTCTCATGAAAACCATTTTAAAGAAATTCCAAATTCAGCAATTACAAACTACCGCGTTCCATCCGCAGTCTAACGGTTCGCTAGAACGATCTCATCACGTATTAACCGAATTCCTAAAATGTTTTATTAATAGAAGGGAAGATTGGGATGAATTAATAGAAAAAGCCAACTTTTCATACAACACTTCGGTGCACGAGGGTACAGGATTCACCCCGCACGAATTAATATTCGGTACCCCCGCACGCACTCCGTCCGGAATAAATCGAGAACGAGACCCAGAAACATATGATCACTATTTACTCAATCTATTTATAGAAATCTCCGATATTCAACAACTTGCGAAAACAAACCTTATAAAGGCGAAACTGAAATCAAAACAATATTATGACAGACAAGTAAACATACAACATTTCTCAGTAGGAGACTACGTATTCCTAATAAATGACAGAAAAACGCGAAAGTTTGACAATGAGTACACCGGTCCGTACGAAATTGCCGAAATGCTCGCTAACGAAAATGTAAAAATAAAAATTAGGAGCGATTACTTTAGAATCGTACACACAAATAAACTCAGAAAAGCACATTATAACGAACGCGAATAACGCAAAAGGCTCAACAATTTTGTAAAAGAATTACTAATCTGATTCAAATTACTAATTCTTAATCAACAAACTAAGTAATATAAATAAACTGTACAAGAATTATTAATCCAAATTTGAAAAAAAATTAATTATTAATTCTTAACACAAAATTCTAACATTGTAAATATTATAAATAATCAACACTGTATGGCGCGCGTCTGAGCTCAGATACGTAATGTACCAAAAAAGGGGGTAAGCACACACGCAGCGATACGCATATACACGGTGTCGTCACAAGAACCAAAAAGGATATCGGCGAGAACAGAGAGACGCGGCGTTATGTGATCTGGGCCAGTGATCTCAAATCGACTGCACCGTCAGGGGGTTCGGCAAGACGGATTCTTGGTACCGGTGCCGCGAAGACCGGCGACGCTTTGTCACGATTAACGTCGCCGACGACCGGCGGCTCCTTAGATCGCCGATTCGACTGATCTCGAGTTTTTCCGATAACGATTGGAGGGGGCCGAGTCGCGATTTTCAACGAGCGAGTCCGGGCGGAAATTTCATTCCTTAGAGGTCTGCAGTCGTGTACGCATCGCGCGAGGTTACGTGGTCGATTGTTACGTGGTCGATTGATAGTGACGATTCGTGTGCGTCGTGCGGTAGTGTGCCACCCTAGGCGAATACCCCAGGCGTTGTCCACGAAGGGCTCAGGGTGTTCGCCCCAAGCGTTCATAGTCGCGGCTCAGGGCGAAGGCCCCTAGGCGTTGCCGTCGGCAAAGATGTGAGTCACACCGAAGTAGCGCGAGATGCGATGACGAAGTAGATTCGTCCGACTCTGTATTCGACTCGGAAATACATATTTAGTGAAACTACCATTGTTGTTAAGAGTTCTTATTTCACCGACTATAAGTACACTCATGAACGCGAAAAGACAGTGCAACCGCGAACTGTGCTTGCGCTGATCGAAACGACATTTTGGTGCCTCCTGTGAGGTGTGACTCCACGGAAGGGCCAGGCCATCCAAAGACAGAGGCAGTGCTTCGACGCATGCGGAAAAACGGATCACCATTATCGGTGCGGCTGGACGAGCGTAAGTCGGTCAAGACCCCTTATTTCGAATTATAATCAGCATGACTGAGAGACTCAAGCTTCTCATTCAGAAGCGGACGTCGTTAAAGGCTAAACTAACCGGGCTGGCGAATGCTCTCGACAAGGGCCGATTTGACAATGTTACATTAAAATTACGCGTTGCGCGGCTAACGGAATTGTATCATACGTTCGAAGATTACAATGACGAACTCGCGCTTCTGGACCCTGATGACGGTCATCAGGCCGAATTCACAAATATACAAGAACGATTTTATTCGCTCGCGGGCAGGGCCGAGAACATTTTAAATCCGGCGGATACATCGGGCGCCGGCAGTGAGACAGCCAGCGAAGCAACTCGGGCCGAGCAGGCGATCACCGTGGCTGCGAGTAGAAAACGAAAAATCAAATTACCGGAAGCAACGCTGCCCACGTTCGAAAAATTTGAAAATTGGCTCTCATTTAAGAACGCGTTCGCTAACATGATCGGTACTCAATCAGATTTATCGGAAATCGACAAGCTGCATTATTTGAAGTCGGCATTGACGGGTGAGGCCGCTAATAAAATAAAGATATTTTCTGTCGATGGAATTAGTTACTCTAGCGCGTGGGCACTGTTAGAGCGGTCGTACGAGGTGAAGCGTATTTTGATATCACGGCACCTCTCATTATTAATAAATCTGCCTGTACTGGAAAGGGAAACTACCAGCGGTTTAACGAAGCTCGCCGACGATGCTCAGCAGCATATTGCGTTACTAAAAGGTTTAGGGGTTACGGTCGGTCCCGAAATGACAGTTCATTTACTCGAAAGTAAATTGCCAAGATCTGCGATGGACAAATGGGAGGCAACGCTAGTACGAGACGAGTTTCCGAAACCCGATCAAATTTATGAGTTCGTATATAAGGCGGCGGTGTGCGCGTCGCGACGCGAAAAGGCGAAGGCGTCGGAAACGGAGAAAGACAAAGGCGCGCCTCCGGCGAAAAAGACGCGAAACAATCCCTCAAATCGGACATTCTTGATAAAGACGTCGGGCAATTGCGCAGTATGCAAGGCTAAGCGGCATCCACTATACTTATGCGATAAGTTTAAACAGTTGTCGGTCCGGGAACGCATTGAAACAGTAAAAAAAGCGAAACTCTGTTACAACTGCTTGCGCTCTCATCGCGGTACTCCCTGCAAATTCTCGAATTGCACGGTGTGTCAGAAACGACATAATACGCTCCTACACTTAGAGAACCACTCAAATAAATCCGAAGCGTCTCACGCCGAAACTTCTCAATCAAATTGACAGTACGCATCATCCGACGGTAGAAAAACAAGTCTCGCGACGATTTCCCAGTGTGCGCCGCAATTATTAACAAGCCCGTTAGTTTACATTCAAGATCGTAAACAGAATATCGTGAAGGCTCGAGCTTTGTTAGATACGTGCGCCACGGCAAATTTCATATCGGAGACATTGGTGAGACGTTTGAGCATACCGGTGATCAAGCATTCGATTCCGATTGGGGCAATCAACGCCATAAAAACAGAGTCGCGCGGATTGGTACGGGTGAGCATTCAGTCGTTGCACAGCAATTTCGGCAAGTCCCTGACGTGCTTAGTAGTACCGGCCATCACAGATTTATTGCCCTCTGAAACATTCCCGCGAGATATGCTCAAGTTACCTCAAAATATCAGGCTAGCCGACCCGGAATTTCATAAACCGCGTCCTGTCGAATTGCTAATCGGTTCCGGAGCGACGCTGTCGCTATTTTCCGTCGGACAAATTGATTTGTCAAAAGAGGGCCATGATCTCTATTTACAAAAAACGCGGTTAGGCTGGGTGATCGCGGGGGGAGCGTCAGCGCAATCTCCGTCGGATCCCGCTACATGTTGCTTGACGAGTTTAGAGAAGCAGATAGAACAATTTTGGGAAATCGAAGAGAACGCTCGGGGTAGGCCAAAATCCGATGAAGAAATACGATGCGAAACGTACTTCGTAGAAACCGTTTCCCGCGAGATGAGTGGGCGTTACACGGTGCGTTTGCCGTTTCGCGAAACTGTCAGGCATTTTGGTGAATCGCGTAATGCCGCGCTTAAGCGTCTAGTGTCATTGGAACGTAAATTCAACGCGGATGAAATATTGAAGATCGAATATACGCGAGTATTCGAAGAGCACTTAAAATTAAAGCACATGTCGTTGGTAAACGATCCCGGGGACGACGGATATTACATGCCTCATCACGCGGTGATAAAAAATTCGAGCAGCACTACAAAGGTCAGAATAGTGTTCGATGCATCCGCAAAGACGAGCAACGATATATCGTTAAATGACGCGCTAATAGTAGGACCCATGATACAAAACAAAATATTTGAGCATCTAGTTCGCTTCCGCACGTATACATATGTACTCACGGCGGACATCGAAAAAATGTACTGTCAGGTGCTATTACATGAGGATGACCGAAGGTACCAGAGAATCTTATGGCGCGTAGACGGAGAAATAAAAACATTCCAATTCAACACGCTCACGTTCGGCGTATCCTCGTCGCCGTTTCTAGCAATCCGCACGGTACAAAAACTCGCGGATGACGAGTATGACGCGTACCCTAGGGCAGTAGAAATAATCAAAACACACTTATATGTAGATGATTTGTTGACCGGCGCGGAGACGCTCGAGGAAACGCGGGAAATTAGAGACGAGATAATCGCTTTATTAGCCAGGGGCGGATTCGTTATGCGACAGTGGGCGTCCAACGACGAACGCATTGTTAATGACTTAGTTGCCAACGCGTTGCATGCAGAGTTTTCGCTGAGTGCAGATTGCAGTCGTTCGCTAAAGACTTTAGGAGTAACGTGGAACACACGCGGCGACAAGCTATGTTACACGGCCCATGCTATTGAGACCGCGGGAAGAGTCACGAAGCGAAACGTTCTAGCAGAAATTGCAAAAATATTTGATCCAATAGGTCTGTTAGGCCCCATCGTATTATGCGCGAAAAAGATAATGCAAGACGTGTGGCGCTGTAAGCTGCAGTGGGACGAATCCGTCCCGCAGAGCGTGCACACGAATTGGATAGAGTTCGCGCGACAGTTAGGAACGATGGGTCGAATCTCATTTGATCGTAGATTACTAGCCAAAGATTACGACGACATTCAATTTCACGGATTCTGCGATGCAAGTGGCGTCGGTTATGGCGCTTGTTTGTACATACGGTCGTGTGGGAAAGATGGAGACCCGACTATCAGACTGGCGTGCGCTAGATCTAGAGTCGCACCGTTGAAGACGGTCACTATACCTCGTTTAGAATTGAGTGGCGCGTTGCTATTGGCACGATTGTACCGCGAGGCGAAAGAGGCAATGGGTATCATGCCCAACGACGTAGTATTCTGGTGCGATTCGACGATAGCTTTACATTGGATAAAAACGCCACCACATCTACTTAAAACGTTTGTAGCGAATCGAGTCGCAGAAATAAGAGAGATTACCAATCCGAACGCCTGGCGCCATGTAGGTTCGAACGATAACCCGGCCGACGCAATTTCGAGAGGTCAACTACCTCGAATTTTCGTGCAGAATAAAATATGGTTCGAAGGACCTTCGTGGTTAAAGCGAGAAAAAGGCGAGTGGCCTAATGAGATCACGCAATCGATACAAGTGCCCGAATTGAAGAAAAACATTTGCTTGGTGACGGCGTCCGATAACCTCGAGATGTTCAAAAAATATTCATCGTTTTCCAAACTACTTCGAATCATCGCGTATTGCCTACGCTGGCGACCTAACAATAAGTGGTCCGGAACATTATGTGCGACAGAAATTAGCGAAACAGAAATACGGTTTTTAAAAATGCTACAGGCCACGCGATTTGCCAACGAAATTAAAACGGTTAATGGAAAAAAGGAGCTACCCGGGAAAAATAGATTACTTAGCTTGAGTCCATTCGCGGATGAAAACGGTCTCTTACGGGTAGGAGGACGTCTTCAGAAATCGCAATTGACCTTTACGCAGAAGCACCCAATTTTGCTCCCTAGCCAACATTGGTTAACTGATCGTATCATTCGAGAAACGCACGAGAGGTACTACCACGCGGGCATTCAATTGACACTATATTTTCTGCGACAAAGATTTTGGATACTCGACGGAAAAAATCAGGTGCGAAAAATTGTATGAGCCTGTGTACGCTGTTTTCGTTTTAACGCGAATACCGTCGAGTACAAAATGGGGAATCTCCCGACAGCTCGTGTCCGCGAGGCAGCGCCTTTCACTAATATAGGCATCGACTTCTGCGGGCCTTTCTATATCAAAGAGAGGAAACACCGCAACCGAGCAAGGGTAAAGACTTACGTGTGCGTATTTGTTTGTATGACCATAAAGGCGATACACCTTGAACTCGTGAGCGACCTGTCGTCAGCCGGATTTCTCGCCGCGTTACGACGATTTATTTCACGACGCGGATTACCGGAGCACGTTTACTCCGACAACGGAACAAATTTCGTAGGCGCGAACAACCAACTCAAGGAAATGTATTTGTTATTCAATTCCGAGCAACATAAGAAACTTGTAAATCAATTTTCGAGTGACCATCGCATCAGCTGGCATTTTATACCTCCCATGGCTCCACATTTTGGGGGGTTATGGGAGTCGTCTGTAAAACTCTTCAAACACCACTTCAAGCGAGTGGTAGGAGAGACTTTGTTTACGTTCGAAGAGTTGAATACATTTATTACCGAAGTCGAGAGTATTCTGAACTCTAGGCCGATCGTGTCTCTTTCATCCGACCCAAACGATTTACTAGCCTTGTCGCCCGCTCATTACCTTCTGGGCAAGCCACTAAACACCCTCCCGGAGGGGAACTTATCATCTGTTCCAGCCAATCGACTGTCCACCTGGCAGCACATCACCAAGGTGAGACAAGACTTTTGGACACGGTGGAACTTGGAGTATCTAAACGAGCTCCAAAGGCGCAGTAAATGGAACAAGGATGGGCCGGAACTCAAAATCGGAGCAATCGTGCTCGTAAAGGACAAAGGCCTACCATGTGCGCACTGGTCGCTAGGTAGAATTTCGGCGCTGCATCCAGGTGAAGACGGGATTTCCCGAGTCGCCACCATTAAAACGACAAGCGGAGAAGTAAAAAGAGCGACGAAACTTCTCTGCCCATTACCAATGGAGGAATAAGCGAACCTCCAGACTTGTTGCGATTTCGCATACGTAACGATAATGAACACATACAATATATACATGCGTTAGTATAAACATAGATTCATGCGATGAATTGTTCGATACTCTCTCAACAGGGGGAGTATGGCGCGCGTCTGAGCTCAGATACGTAATGTACCAAAAAAGGGGGTAAGCACACACGCAGCGATACGCATATACACGGTGTCGTCACAAGAACCAAAAAGGATATCGGCGAGAACAGAGAGACGCGGCGTTATGTGATCTGGGCCGGCGCCCAGTGATCTCAAATCGACTGCACCGTCAGGGGGTTCGGCAAGACGGATTCTTGGTACCGGTGCCGCGAATCCGTCTTGCCGAACCCCCTGACGGTGCAGTCGATTTGAGATCACTGAGCGCCGGCCCAGATCACATAACGCCGCGTCTCTCTGTTCTCGCCGATATCCTTTTTGGTTCTTGTAACGACACCGTGTATATACGTATCGCTGCGTGTGTGCTTACCCCCTTTTTTGGTACATTACGTATCTGAGCTCAGACGCGCGCCATACTCCCCCTGTTGAGAGAGTATCGAACAATTCATCGCATGAATCTATGTTTATACTAACGCATGTATATATTGTATGTGTTCATTATCGTTACGTATGCGAAATCGCAACAAGTCTGGAGGTTCGCTTATTCCTCCATTGGTAATGGGCAGAGAAGTTTCGTCGCTCTTTTTACTTCTCCGCTTGTCGTTTTAATGGTGGCGACTCGGGAAATCCCGTCTTCACCTGGATGCAGCGCCGAAATTCTACCTAGCGACCAGTGCGCACATGGTAGGCCTTTGTCCTTTACGAGCACGATTGCTCCGATTTTGAGTTCCGGCCCATCCTTGTTCCATTTACTGCGCCTTTGGAGCTCGTTTAGATACTCCAAGTTCCACCGTGTCCAAAAGTCTTGTCTCACCTTGGTGATGTGCTGCCAGGTGGACAGTCGATTGGCTGGAACAGATGATAAGTTCCCCTCCGGGAGGGTGTTTAGTGGCTTGCCCAGAAGGTAATGAGCGGGCGACAAGGCTAGTAAATCGTTTGGGTCGGATGAAAGAGACACGATCGGCCTAGAGTTCAGAATACTCTCGACTTCGGTAATAAATGTATTCAACTCTTCGAACGTAAACAAAGTCTCTCCTACCACTCGCTTGAAGTGGTGTTTGAAGAGTTTTACAGACGACTCCCATAACCCCCCAAAATGTGGAGCCATGGGAGGTATAAAATGCCAGCTGATGCGATGGTCACTCGAAAATTGATTTACAAGTTTCTTATGTTGCTCGGAATTGAATAACAAATACATTTCCTTGAGTTGGTTGTTCGCGCCTACGAAATTTGTTCCGTTGTCGGAGTAAACGTGCTCCGGTAATCCGCGTCGTGAAATAAATCGTCGTAACGCGGCGAGAAATCCGGCTGACGACAGGTCGCTCACGAGTTCAAGGTGTATCGCCTTTATGGTCATACAAACAAATACGCACACGTAAGTCTTTACCCTTGCTCGGTTGCGGTGTTTCCTCTCTTTGATATAGAAAGGCCCGCAGAAGTCGATGCCTATATTAGTGAAAGGCGCTGCCTCGCGGACACGAGCTGTCGGGAGACTGTAAATACACAAATAACCAACAAAAATATTGTAATAACGTTAATAACAAAACAAAAAAAAATAATAATACAAAAAGAAAAAGAAAGAAAAAACAATAAAAGCAAAAACAAAACAAAAAAAATCTCTCTAAAAAATACAAAAGCAAACAAAAAAAAATAATAATGACAAATAAATAAATATTCACGTCAAATTATCCTAATTATAATACTACACGAATTAATTAAACAATTAACATTAAAAGAGTGGACCTTAAAACCATTTTCTTTTCTGTAAAACATATTGTAACGTCTAGAAAGTCTGTCTCTGTACAAACAAGCGCCAAATTATTAATTTATGTTACCATTTTACATTAATCTTAATATTTTTTTTTTTCTATTATTATCATCGCTACAAATAACTAGCGCCATTACTATTATTATTCTATTATTATTTATCACTCTTTATACTTTTTTTTCCCCTTCTACTACTATCGCCATCGTTGCGAGTAACTAGCACTACTAGTATTATTATTTTATTTTTAATTTTCTTTCCCCATACATAAATGTACAAGTCGACAAGCTCCTAGTCGCGACGCTTCTTACAAAACCGACGCTCCAACGTAAGGGGGGGGGGGG